TCCGATGTCTATGATTGTGTTTAACCCCTATACCCTGTCTCTTATACACATCTAGATGTGTATAAGAGACAGGAGAGAGAGAGAGAGAGAGAGAGGATCGCTGATGTGGGTTTTCTTGTGAGTGAACTGTGCAGGACTGCAAAACATGTCACCACTGGAATGTTTGCTAAACGCTTGATTCAGTAAGGCTACTGTATTGCAAAGGCGAGTTCTGGTGTGATTGGTTTTGTTGAACAATTTCGGTACTGATGCTCGTGGCCCATTTTGTTTTTTGGGCTTTCACTGGTTGGCAGCAAATATACCTTTCGGGGAATCAGCTCAGCAGTCTCGTCACTTTGCCTGTCCTTCCTAATCTTGAGGTGAGTTATTTTAAGGCATCTTGGAGAACATCATAAGGGAAAGTGCACGAGTCCATATAGGGTTGTGGAAGTTGATGAAAACGTTAGTAGCTTGACTATACCTTTCAGGGGATCAGCAAAGCAGCCTTTCCACTTCCCTGTCCTCGCAAATCATGAGGTGAGTGGTTGTAAGAGAACAATGTGAAGTCAAACTTGAGACTGCGGAGAGGCAAGTGAATGAGACAAGTGAGTGGACGTCACAATGCGCGTGCAATTAGATGTCCTAGAGGGTTAAGAGGAGGTGGATGCTGAGGGGAAGAAGAAGAAGAATAGGAGGAGCAAGAAGTGGGAGAGGAGAAAGGGGAAAAGGACACCTTTACTAGCTCCTATCATCTTCTGTGGGTGAAGTATTCTCTGTGATGCTAGTCATGGTGGTGCTTCCTTTCTGTGTTGGCTAAGGTATATTCACTTGCATTCTTTGTGGAGCTATTTTTGTCCGCGACAATGATGACATTCTCATTGAGGACTCCTATGCAGTATGAGCGAGCAGCATTCTGAAATTGCCAAATCTGTTGAATTGAGTCGTTAGCGGATTTCTGATTTGTTCTCTTTACGATGCGTTTCCCGACTTGCGGAACCTGGTCAGGGTGGAGGTTTTTGTTTATCGTGCTGTCTCAAGTTTATTGCTGTTGTTTTCATTCCATCTTTTCTGCTCTGCTTTCCAGTTCATCTCTACTTGAATGGAAACTTGATTTTGTGAATACAGGCACTATTTCTGAAAGGTCGCTGCATCAGACGCGACATTTGTTTATTTAATTTGTTCTTGGTCGGGTGGAGCTGCCTTGACAGGTCTGTTAGTGTTGTGTGAGTGGCTGCTCTTCATGCCATTCAATAGTTAACCCGGTGGAGATACTTGTGTTCAAACGTTCCTCGTATTTATTATGTGGTGGTGTGTTGATGCCGCAGTTTCTATCTATTTCCCAAAACGAGCTCACTTCATTAGAGATGCCCAGCCAGCCCAAGTTACAGGTGTGTGAAATCTTCAGAGCGTATATGTTTACTTTCTGAACCATTATATTGCACCTGTTTGCCTGTCTTTCCTTTTGAATTTGGTTCTCTGCAATTTATCCCTTGCTTCCTTTGCTCTCATGTCTTTTGATCTCTTCCCCCTGGTTTCTCTCGCTCACGTCTCACTTGCAATCCCCTTCCCGCCCCCTTTTTATCTTTGTGCCAGGGTTGCATACCTGCCAACCGCTGACCCCGACCGCTGACCGTTTTGCAGCCTACCAGTGCCTACCGGTCAGAAAACATACATCCACTCATTTTTTTTCAAATCTGAGTTGGGGCCTGTACTGTGCTTGCTGAGTACAGCCCAAATCCGCTGAGAAACTTTTGGGGATGGGGAAGGGGGTATGGGGGGGGCTAGGGGTGGTATAGCGGGTATGGGGGGGTATGAGGGTGTTGGGGGGCGGCTTGGGGGTGTTGGGGGGTTGTATGGGGGTATTGGGGGCGGGTATGGGGGTGTCCGTGGGGTTATCAGGGGTTATGGACTCCCGGAAAAAAAAATTGAGATTTTTTTTTTTTCTTGGGCGGGGTGCTGACGGCCCTCGATCGGTAGGTGCCGACCAGTCAAGGGGCACCTGACGACCCCCGATCGGTAGGTGCCGACCAGTCAAGGGGCACCGTCCGTCAGGGTATGCAACACTGTGTTGTTCCTCACGATGTGTTTGTGCTGTTTCGTCCCCCTATCCTGCTCTTCTTCTCCCACCGCTCTCTCTCTCTTACTCTGTCGGGCTTTATCCTCTATTTCCTCAATCTATCCTTCCACTCTTTTTCCCATCTTTTGCTCTGCATCTCTGTTCATCTCTTTCCCTCTATTTTGCACTCTTTGCCTCTCCCCTATCCCTTGGTCCTGATGTTGCTGTTGACCTCTCTCCCTTTCTTGCTCTTGTTCCTCATCCCAGTCCCTCAGCTCCTATCTTTCTGAGCGAGATGATTGCTTTTTGTTCTCACTTCCTTTCTGCTTTTTCTCACACTTTCTGCTTGTCTCTATCTTCCCAAGTTCAGCCAGGAAGATTTTGTTGCTCGGCCGGGCAGGCCCGACTGGGCACCCAGATTTCACGCCGGCCCGGCTGAGCACCCAGATTTCACGCCCAGGGGGTCTCATGGCGTGAGCAAAAGTACGGCCTTTTCTTGTCTTGTTGAAAGTGGGGACATTTTGCGCTCCCCTGGAGGAGCCCAAATCCGGGCTCTTTCTTCCTTGTGTTTGGAGGTGAGTAGGGGGTGGGGGTTGGAGTGGGGGGTTGGGACTGCGTTGGGGCAAGTTGGGTGGGTTTCTCTCTCTCGCTCTCTCTCTTACATGCAGCGATATTCATAACAGAAGGAACACTAGCTATGAAGAATTTCGCTGTGGCCTATTCTGCAGTCTCATCTATGGATTGCTGCCTATAAGAAGCTAGTGCCTAAGTGCAATCAGACTCGCTTTCATTCACGCTTCACATGCATACACACAAGTTGCACAGCAAACTGGCGACAAGCGCCCACTTCAAACTCAGAGATATGGAAACCCGGAACACAGTTCAGATACAATTTCACTTCAGATGGCTATGGCGCATCAGCGCCTGTACAACTCTCTGTTCGTCACTTGCTCAACACTGTTGTTCGCACACAGGGTCACTCTGGATATCCCACACGCAACACACTGTACACTCGCATACTCACACATGCCACTCTCTCTCCTATCAGCTATGGCGGCTATGGCCGCTGCTACCTTATCACTGTGGCTAATAAGCTTCCTTCTCGCCCACTTCGTCTTCGGGCCTACTGCAGACCACCTCGCACAAGTCGCTGTGGCAGCGCTTCCGCATGGCTGACGCAGGAATGAATGAATGGCTGGTCGCTGCCTCTCAATGTATACTTCTGTAGCGCGTTGGTCTGGCCCTTTCCCATGCCTGTGGTGCACACAGTCCCGTACGGTACTTGCTTGACTAGACTAGGACTGACTGGGACTGCTGACTCAGCACGGGTAGACTCCACCACTTGCCCACTTGCCTCTGTCTCAAACGTGAGCAGCTTCGAAAGGCCAATACTAGGACCTTCCGGAAGGTTTAGTCTTGGCCTTTCGGCGACTGTAGCAGCTACGACCTTGACCTTTCAGGACTGTAGCAGCTACGACCTTGACCTTTCAGGACTGTAGCAGCTACGACCTTGACCTTTCAGGACTGTAGCAGCTACGACCTTGACCTTTCAGAAATCGTGAAGTTACGACTTCTAGAACCCCTAAGACCTCTGATCGACAGATCTACAGATCGAACCCCTACAACCTATAGACCCCACGACACCCTACCAACTGTTACGAAGACACAGGTCACGGGTTCAACTCCTGGGGTCGACACAGATACTGTACACAGGTAGGGTGAGAACTAGGGGTCAAGTCCTGGGATCTGCATTCGCTACTGCTAACAGGTAAAAACCGTTTCAAAGAGTTCGTTCAAAAAAAAAAAAGAAAAAGCTAGCGCCTGAGAGTTAAGGACACTCCTTCGTGTGTTGTACGCCGGATGAATTGGCGCTAGCCAGACTTCTGAGGCCTCTGCTCTGACATCCACCAATATTCATAACCTAAGGACCGCTAGCTCTGAAGAATTCGGGGCCAGTGGCCTATTCTGCTGTCTCATGAAAGACATAAATCGATGGATTGCTGTGTGATGACCCGTCCAAACATGGACTGAAACACAGCTGGTTTCTGAGTTTTGCCCATAGACTGAATGCCTTGCTGAGTTTCCCGCCTGCTACTAAGTCTGTGTGTGCACGCTTGCTGGACTGCATGTCTGTCTGAGTGATGGTTGGCTYGAGTGTGTGTGTGACCATGCCTGTCTGAGTATTGGTTGGCTTGGGTGTGTGTGTGACCATGCCTGTCTGAGTGCTGGTTGGCATGAGTATGTGTGTGGCCCGTCAGGGCACTTGCTCGTTCGCTGGGCCCTCAGGGCCGGTACTTACCTGTGGCCGTGACATTGAGGGGTTGGAGCGGGGAAAAACACTCAAGTAGCGGGTAGGCTGTTACCGCACCTGGAAGGGGTAGATGTGCGGGTACCGGAGGCCGAGCAGAAGAAGACAAAAGTGGCATTTTTAGAGGCCCAGTAGTGTAGGCTAGGTCTAGGCGGATACCAGTCTGAGTCTAGGGCCTGTACGGGCAATATCAGAGTCTGCAATGATGTTTCCCTCCAAAAAGGAGGAGGTACTGGTTGCTTGGGAGGCCAAGCGGCCTGGAAGTCACCGCCCAAGAGGCAAAGCAGGCCGCTATATCTTCGGGCCGGGCGGAGAGTCCGGCCTCTTTTTCGGTGTGCAAGTTTGGCGACACACTGGTGGAGCGCTGGCTGGAGCAGCGCTATGCTGGAGCAGGGCTGCTGGGGAGGACGGAGAAGGACACGAGGGAGGAAGAAGGAAGGAAGGGGGAGGAGCACCAGGGGTACTTACCTGGCTATGGTGGCAGCCATCTTCATCACCTTGGTGGGGAGAGCCACACCAAGAAGCTTCAAGGCAGGGTTGGGCATGGCGGCCTGAGCTAGAGCAGCCATATAGCTGCTTTGGGTTGTCCTTTGGGCATCTGGGCAAGGCCTAGTAGTCCGCCATAGCCTCGGCCTATGAGAGTGAAGAGTGGGGACGCGGCCATGGCTATGGTGGACCTCAATTTATACCTGCAGTAGAAGAGGGACTGGGACATTGATTCTGGATCAGTCATTCAACATTGTATTATTATTTCTTGTATGAATAAGAGAAGGGGGAGATAAGGTGGAGGAGATTGTTGGGCGAAGAAGAAGAGCCTTATCATCTGTTTGCTGGTGTACATCGTCTTCTTCTTCCTTCTTCCTTCTTCTTCTTCCTCTTCTAATCCTCTCTCTCCTCTCAAGTTAGTTAATTTCTTTCTGCAATTGGATGGCATTGTACTTTCCGATGGATGTGTATCTCGAAATTGGCCGGGGTCATAACAGCTGCCTATAAGAAGCTAACGTCTAATCCACGCTCCCACGAAGGTGGCGCTGGGGGAACGATGGATGGCACCTCTGTGAAGGGCTAACCAAAAGGGTGAACTAGAGATTTCTCAAATATTAACTAATATCTCTCTTTCAGAAGCTAAAACTGCAGGCCCGAAGGAAAACGCTCTTGTCAGCCTCCAGGTACAAAGTGCAGCAATTCGGACATCTCTGCTGACACAAAGTGTTGAGGTGAAGGAAAAAGAAGATGATTGACGAGGAGGAGGAGGAGGAGGTTGCGTTGGTATTAGCAAAGGTCACATGAGGAGGGGAAGAGGAAGAGCAGGGAAGGAAGAGGAGGAGCAGGGAAGAAGAAGATGAAGAAGAGGAGGAGAAGAGAAAGAAGAAGAAGAAGAAGAAGAAGAAGAAGAAGAAGAAGAAGAAGAAGAAGATGAGGAGGAGGAGGGGAGAAGGAGGGGGGGAGGAGGAGCAAGGAAGGAGTAGGAGGAGGCGGCCTCGTCGTGGTGGTGTGATGGCAGCCTTGTCGTCATGGTGCAGTTGTGTTGCTCTGATGATCGGAGGATCCGTGTGGAGCAAATATTTGGAAATGCCAAATCATGCTGAGTGGGGATCCGAGCCGCCCGGGTGACCGGCAGGGGCCCGGGGGAGGTCCCGGGCAGCCTGGCCGGGCAGGGCACCCGGTTGGGGGCCGGGACCCCCAGCGCACTCACCTGTCGGGGGATTTCGGACCCCCTTTTGGACCCCCTTTCGGACCCCTTTTGTGTGTGTGTGTGTGTGTGTGTGTGTGTGTGTGTGTATGTGTGTGTGTG